TCTTCTATGTAGTGGCTAGTATGCTTTGGACTACTACTTACTAGTAGTTATAATTATAAAACTGTTAACATGTAATTAGCTTCTTACCTACTCATTAGTAGGATTCCTACCTGCTCCAAAGACAAGACTGAATGGTCTTGCACAAACACAGAACATATGGAGCATGCAGAACAGATCATGTCACAATAAGCAAATATAATAGAAAACCATTTTCTATGTATCTGTGCGCTTAGTTATTTCAGGTAGTAGGTTAACTTATTTCTGGAGGATGGCTCAGCTAGAATGTATAACAAGTAAACAAAATATCATGATCAGTCCACTCTTTCTTTGTGTAAAAGGTTTCCAGGTTGTGTAAAGAACATGCAGCATGCTCATGGCTCTCTGTAAGTGGAACATTATGCATGTCCTGCCACAATTCCATGTAGGCCCCGTACCAGAAGGGCTACACACCAGGCAATGGGGACCTGGGGAAGCCAGCACTGCTATGTTTTCAATAGACCTGCTAAGACTTTGTTACCAAAATGAAAGGAAAGTATTTATCTCAAGAATGGGAAACCTGTCCATCACAGCTCCATCAGAAGTCATCATGGTTGGTAAGCACTACTTTTCAAATGTGTTGCAATTTTTAAATACTTCAAGCAGCCCCGCATTTGAAAGCTGTGTCTATATTCATTTTCTCATGAATTCTGTATGTACTAGGTAGATAAGTGATGGCATTCCTGATCTATTTATTTTTATTTTATTTCTGATCTATTTAGAAGGGAACACCTGCCACAGAACATCGAGAGCATGCATGTCTGTACATGAACTGTAAAATGTGCCGCTGGCCTTCCCCAGTAGAGGGAACTCCCTGGTATGTGAATCTGTCCCCACATGCTCCTTGGCCAGGCACAGCCTGTACATCATTCACAGCAGGCTCGATCCTGGAATTAGTTCAAGTTCTGGAAGTAATCAGGGGAATTGAAGGTGCTTGTATATGGAGCTATAGAGTCTGTTTTCTTCTAGTACTGATTTAAGACCAAATGATTATAAAATTTCTGAAGGTCTATGATATTTTCCTAGTAAAACATTTTTAAAATTCACAAGCATAGAATGTTTGAATTTTTTCAAGTACATTATTCTATTGCAAAAATGTTTGCCCTTTTAAGACTCAAGTATTTCATGAGTTTGCAAATTCTTACATTCTATGTATTTCTTGCACAAAGCCAAGAAAATTTCCAAAGATAATAAGGAATGATCTGTCAATCCAGCTGACTTTCATATCTTGAATTTATAATTTGGAGAAACTGAGAAACAGACACTGGACACACAAAAAGGATTCATGAGACCTTGGAAAGGATGCAAGAGGACAATTCACAAGGCACAGATCTTGCTGAAACTGAGTCCCTCTGCAGGTTGTCATCGAGCATGGCCTGGGTCCCTTGATCAGCCCCATGCCTCCCATTTCTTGGATTATCCCATCCCTTGATGCTACTTTGATGCTATCCAGCTACGCCACATCATCCCTCGATGAACAAAATTACCACAGACTCACAGTGCTTAAAATCATCATTTCCCCACAGTTCTGCACCTCAGCACTTTCTGATTCAATGAATGGGAGCACCATCCAGTTCAACACTGAAGCAAGAAAACTAGAAGTCATTCAAAAGTCCTCACTCTCCCTTACTCCTCCCCTGACATACATCAGCCACCATATCCTGTTGACTTTACCCACCCACTTCCGCACATCTGTACTGTCACTGCTAGGACAAAGCTCACTGTTGTCTGTAACTGAACTATCTTCCACACCAAAGTCACAGGGAAATTTCCAAGCAGCTTCTCACTGGTTTCATTATAGAATCCAAACCCAAGGTGGCTTCTCCTTCTGGCTCCAGCCTGCTTCTCCAGCATCCTGCTTAGAGATAAATGATTCCAATGTTTCTGCCGTTCTGGGAGGCAGCGTGTTCTCACTGTCTCTGGCCTTTCCCACTAACATTCCTCTTCTTGCCTCCATTCCACGATCATGTGCCACTGGCCTTCTCATGAGGTCAGCTAGAAGTCATATTGGCAAGGAAAGGTGTCTCCCCACCAGCCCCATCACAAACTCTACTTCACCTATTACAGGACGGCCGTGTCCGTCTTTCTCACCTAGAACTCAAGCTCTGCCCATATTCCCCATCACCACTGCTTACTCCCCAGCACAATCCCCAGCCCTAAGCACAAGCTAATATACACTTCTTCACTCAGTGAAGAAACGTCTTGCTTATTTTGAAACCAAAGAAACAAAAAAATAATGGTAAGTAATGTAAAAAATGTTTAAAAAATAACATTTTTCCATTAAATTATGTTCCACATTTTTTACTGGGATTCTCATTTCCTAGTATCACCTTTGTCCTCCCTTTTTTTTTTACAGAATTCCCAGAGTGAATATCTACAGGAACATCTGTGCAAGCCTCCAATCAACTCATGCTGTCTTTAGAAGTTATCAGTCTGCCTCCGAGCCCATCTGATTCTCCCCCAGCCCAGGACTTGGGACTGAGATGAAGTGCTGAGTCCCTGAATGGGTACAACTGCAGCACCTGAACTCTGGAACTGTGGAAGATAAATAGGTTACTGTGTGCTCAGAAAAATCTGGTTTAAATGAAAATGTGCAAGCCAGCATGTATGTGTGCGTGCACGTGTGCACAAACACACACACACATACACATGCATGGGGGTAGAAGGAATTGACATAAAGTTACAGTCACTCCTTTCCAGAGACTTGGTAAATTTCTGCCCTTGATTTTCCTTGAGAAATGTCCTTTAACCTTAACATAAATATTCCTTTCTATGGCTTACGGCAGTTTAAGGTGAGTTAATGTCAAACAAATACAGTAATATGTTTTAAGTGAAATCCAGTAAAGTATCACTTAAAATACCATTTAAATACACAGATAACTTTCAGTGTATGAAACTCTGAATATTTATCAAGGATATTTCTTTCATCTTCCTAGATGAGCGCACAGAACATTTTGTGCCCAAGCATCACAATGGTGCCACCACACAGAGGTGGTCTGCAGAAGAGTCACTGTCTGAATGGATGTCATTGAAAAGAATTTTAAAAAGTCACAGCTTAAATAATATAGGTTCTTGCCAAAAGAGAAATGTGCATCAGACTGCTGTAGATATGACAGCAGAACTTCGAGGGCTCTGGAGTGGTGTTCCTCGACCAGGTAAAAACTGAAACTCCTAAGCCTCATATCAGAGACAGTAAATCAAAATATCTGAAAGGGGCCAATGCCTTCATTCTCTGTGAGCAGGCTCAGCAGGTCATGGGATGCCTGGAACATTTCAGATGCACTGTTCTAATAATGCCTGTGACAAGTGAGCACAGAGTACAGTACAAAGGCCAGCATCAATGGGAGCTCATAAAGGGGCACAATTAAGAGGTGATCAATTACTAATATTGCACTAATTTTTTTCCTCTTCCCTGTCCTATTCTTGCTTTCTTTCTCCCCAAGTGGACTATTCCTTGGGAGAAACTTTTTCCTTATTCCTTTCATTTGGTTCTTATTCAGTCTTTGGAGGAGGTAAAGGGCCGGTTATTTGATCAATACATCCTTTACTTCCTTTGTCTCATGGAAGTCACAGCTATTCTGCCTGTCAAGTTCCCTGGTTCTGCCAGTGGAAAAGGAAGCATATGACAAGCATAATGAATAACACTAACTTTCTAAATTCACTATTTATCTAAAATCGCTACCCAGGAATTGAATTTCATTAATCACCCTGACATATTTTGGGTAGTAATAACATAAGGGATCTAGATTTTGAATTACTTAAAAATAGAATATATTACATAGGAGACTTGTTTTCACCTACTTCCCCCACCAAAATTAACCTTAGCTGCCTAGACTGGTATCCATGACTTAAGAAAATAAATTTAATTTAATGCTTTTGCAAATTGTCACAGGTAAGAATTAGTACAGAATATAATATCAGCCCTCTTTGAGCCTACTATAATATCTGTGTTAGCACTGTGACAGGTTTCTGGCCTATTTATAAACTGTGTTATCCTTTTTGCCTAATCCCAGAGGAGAAGAGAAAGCCAAAGGATTGAAATTAATGATGTATACTTAGGGAGTCAGCTTATTGGACTGCTGCCCCAAAGCAGAAAAAAACCTATATATGGAAAATTCCCAAGTAGGGGAGGGACTGATGGAAAGAAACAAGGTTTTAATAAACAGTCAAAGCTGTCAGTTAACTATTAATGATTTCTAAACACTTATTGAAACCATCTTAAAATAACCAACATAAAAGTGAAAAAATGAACCATGAAACCAAAGAGCCTAATATTTTCTGCTAAAAACTCTGATTGCTGAAATAATCCATTAAGACAAAATCTATATGTTCATATAGCATGCATAAAAAGAGAATTACCCAACTGTACTTTATGAATTTCCATAAATGCTCAATATGAGTTAGGTCATCAGGAATGATTTATAATTCCTATCATGAAGCACTTCTTTTTTTCTCCTTCAGCTATCCAATTTATCTTTGAAAACCCCAAAACATGCCAGGAAAATATGACCTAAAACCACAAACTTTATCAAAGTAAATGTTGAAGGTCATGCACAGATTAATAAGAATATCAGCTTAAAAGGGAATTGCAGGGTTAAAACAAATTTCTCAGGAAAGGTGCATGGAGTGTGCTGTCTTCGCTGGTGGAGAACAGATAACTGCAGGATCTCAAATGAAAACTTGGGTCACAAAGTTGTCAAGTTTTATGTGCAATGCTGGATTTTAAGCCATTTTTTCTCTTTATAGTTGTCCCTTGACTGCAAAAGGAGGTTTGTCTTGTTTTCCCTTCAATGCTCATGGATCATACCGTGAAATCAAAACTCAAAACAACCCACCTGACCCTGTGCCATGTTAAACTTGACCTCCTTCTTTATGAGAGAAACGCTTACACATGATGTGTTTTCCAGAGGATGAACGGTCGCCAAGAAGTGAATTCCCACACAAGAAAAGAAAGCAAACCTTACCTGGGTAATCATTCTTGTCTATGTCTGAGTCCCCTTTTAAAGCAAAGCCAAATCCTGAAGGGACTGTCTGTGAGGCCCACACTCCATGCAGAGTTTGGGAAGGCCTGATGTTTAAGCCATCCTGGTTTCCATTGTAAATGAGCACTTTGCCTCTCTGATCCTTGCCTGCAAAGGGCACGCCTATGGCGATGTCTGCAGAAAAACATATTTGGGGATAAAGAAGAATGCTTTAGAAATAGATAAGTACAATCCAAAGAGCAATGCCATAAATCCAAAGGGCTTCTCATGCTTTGCATGAGAGTAGTGTAATTCTGCAGCAATAGTAATTCTCATAAAGGGCTTACAAGAAAAGACAAATCAAAGAAAACGCAATTTTCAGATAGTTTAGCAGCATTCATTTCTCTTGGATAATAGGGAATTCAGAAGTTTGGGAAAGCAAAAGTCACTTAAAAGGGAGCTCATCTTTTTTAGTCCCCTTGAATCTTAAGTATTAAATATGCACTTATTGTACTTTGCAAAATACTATTTGCAGAGGGTTTTTTGGTCAAAAAATCATGAGTACAATACACTTACAAAAAGTATCCATGGATACTGATTTGATGTTCCTATCACGTTACAGCATGTTTCCGTTACGTTTTTACTTAGATCAAGAAATATACTACAGTATGGTTCTTATAGATCCTGAAAACACATGTAGTATTTCGTGTGTACATATGTTTTTCTGAGAAGAGTGTACTGAGAAAGCATCTATGAATTCCTAATTTAAAGAACCACAAGCCTAAGGTAAATATTTAAAACTTGCTTTATTGCAAACATTGAAACTGCCTTTCTACTGAAGTTTATAGACCAGGAACCTTTTCAGCATATACTATATGTACCCCATATATGTTGACCAGAATGTCCTATACTTGCTAACGTATCACATATATACATTTGTCTTGACTCCATACATAATAGAAGATGCTCTAATTCCCTTTAAGTCACTTTTCAGAGCCATTAAGGAACACCCTAAATTAAAACATGAAAAAATTTCAACGTGATATCTAGATTAGTCAAAATATATCTTGCTTTTAAAGTTTTCCTAATGTATTAAAAATCAATGATAACAGTGCCCCCACATCACCGTATTTTAAAATAGCCACTGTTTGTTTCACATAGCAGAAACATAAAATTATGACAGGCAGGACACTGGTTTAAATTACCATTGTATCCATCTTGGTTCAAGTCCCCCAAGTGCACCACAGCACTACCGAATCTCCCGAAAATCTCAGTGCCCGTGAGGACCTGGGGGTCCTGGAAGAGGAGGGCGTTCACTTGCAAATATAGGTAGACTCTGCCCACTTCTCTCGGGCTGCTCTCAAATTCTCGTTCCATGAAGAGAGGCGCCCCAACCAACAGGTCGTCCAATCTGAATGGAACAAAGACAGCAGTCAAGGAACAGGAGCCAGGAGATTCTTTCCATGCATTGATAATGAACTAGATTAGTTCCATCTCCTTTTTACAAGGGTCGCTTTACAATCACTGTATTTCCTTCGTTGCTTTGTTATGTCTACAAAAGAGAATGTTGTAAGAAAATTAGATGTTAAATTATCATGTTAAACCTTTTAACTTGTTAAAAAGAACCACATTAAGAAAACCACAGATATTTCTCTTTTTAAACTTTTCAAGTGCATTCACAGAAACTGTAGTTGTACAAGGAAAACATATTGAAAATGTATAAATAAGTTTTCACATAAGGAGATTAGGGTTTGTTTGCAATAGTCACTACTATTTATTAGATTATGCAGTTTTCTTGCAATAATAAGGCTTAACATAAATGTTGTCCTCTTTTTTCCTCCTGTTACCTACTGTTAAAAAAAAAGAGGCCAGAGAGATGACTAATGCTGGCTAAAGAGATAAAAACAAAACTTTTAACCCTGACAAAAATTTATATTTATTTTTTCTATGTGTAGATAGTATCAGGGAACAGGTGATATTCGAGGTCTAAAATACTCAGGAAAGAGACACCTAAGCATTTAGAGATGAAATATAACCTTCAGGTAAATGGAAAATAAATGTAGTTAAAGATAAAGATGTTTCCTTCACAGAGCCAGAGGAGTAGAAAACTTATTTGTCATGAGCCCTCTCAGAGATTTGATTTTTATTTTAAAAATCTAAAGAAAAGTAACACCAACCAAAAATGCATAATTTAATGTCCACTAGGACCTGTCTAAAGTTTGTCTAAACACAACTAATTACAACATAGTATATGCAAAAATATGAAAATAAGAGCCCACCTGAAGCTGAAATATACATCTGCATTGACTTGGTGTCTAAGCAGATTACAGAATATTGAAGTTTGCCAAGTAACTTAGTTACTAAAATATTGTGATTAATGCATATCAACATATTACTACTAATATATTAATACTCACAATATATGATAAACTAAGTATATTAATATGTAACTATACCTATACTGATATTACTATAGATCTCTGTATCTCATATCATAAATATGAAGAAACATGGGTATGCTGAGAGAAATCTTCCTGAACGTCTGTGTGGTATAAATGATGCTGACTTCATTGCCTTCCATCCTCTCTGAATTGTCACTTTGTCTATGGGCTTAGTCTACGGTTGATTTCTCAGTCTCAGTCAAAAGATATGCTATACACCTAAATAGATAGCTCATCAACGACTCACCTCATGATTTAAACAATACATGCTGACTATTAAGTCAACTGAATCTCTAATTAATTTACAAGTGATAATGGGAGATCCAAATGGATGCTGGAAGCACAAATGGGGAGAGGATGAGTGCTTGGAGGGAATTATTGAAGGCCCCTGGAGGAGACAGCTTTGACTCAGGTAGTATCCTGACAGGTGGATCTCAAGGTAGGTTTTTTCAGTGGTGTGTTGGGAGACAAGACAAGTGCCTCCAAAGGAGTCAGGTGCACCAAGTGGTCTAAGTAAGTCTGGGCCAGGAGAATTCCAACACATTTAATAGGAAAAGTAAAAATCCACAAGGAATCCTCAGAACTCAACAATGTAAAGTAATAATTTATGACCATACACTAGCATTTAATGTATTATAGTGCTATTACACTATACAGTACAATATAATATTTGACATTATCATTGTAGTATGTGTATATTATGTATAATATGAGCAATAAAGAAAAACAATTAAAAATTTGGTGAAAATCTGAATAGATGCCTCATCAAGGAAGACACAGATGGAAACTAAAGATGTGAAAAGATGTCCCAAATCACGTCATTAGGAAATGAAAATTCACATAATAGTGAGATGCCAGTACAAATCTCTTCAAATGGCTAAAATGCTGACGGCACAAAACATCAGTGAGGATGGACAGCAGGAACTCTGATTCCATGCTGGTGAGTGGGGATGCAGAATGATGGAGCTGCACTGGCAGGCAGCCTGGATGCTCCTTACAAAGACAGACACAAGCTCAGCATGTGACTGCACATTCGTGGAAGTTGGTCAACAATGAACACAAATGTTAACAGCATAATTTCCAAAGCTTGAGAGCAAGATGTTTTTCAAGAGGTGCATAGATAAACAAGAGGCTTTACCTCCTACAATGGAATACTGTCCATCAATTCAAAGAAATGAGTTATGAAGCTGTGAAAAGATATGAAAGAAGTATTAAGTATATACTATGAAATGAAAGAAGCTGATCTCATAAGGCTAAGTACTATATGAATCCAACAATGTACTATTCCAGAAAAAAAAACAGAACTAGGGAAACAGTAAGATCAGTGGTTTCCAGGAATGTAGAAAATGGAAATGGATGAGTGTGAAGAGAAAGGGATTTTAGGGTAGAAACTATTCTATATGATACTGTACAGGTGGATACATGTTTGTGTGCATTTGACACTGTCTATATATCTAACATCTATCTAGCTATCTGTCATCTATCAATCTACCTATGCATACAGAGGTGATTTGACTGTGAAGATGATCACTTTCATCAGTGGATTAACCCAATGATGTTTATAGCCAATGGACTATTAGAAACACATAGATCACCATGCTATAGACGTCTTTCTCTACTTTCTGAGTGCCATAGGGTGAGTAGCTTTGTCCACAGCCTTCTACCATGATGTAGTACCTCACCTCAGATCCACGGCAACGGAACGAGCCTGCCACAGACTAAACCTCTGAGCCAAATAAATCTTTCCCTTTTTAAAGGAGAAATCTTTTCCCCTTTAAATGACTGTCAAGTATTTCATCCTAATAACTGAAAGGTAACTAATGTCACAGTCAAGTCACTGGTTCTGTATAGTGGAGATTTGGAAAGGCAAGTTTATCATTATGCAGAGAAGGAACAAAGCCTTATAATTAGCCCCTGCGGATATGAGTACACTATGAATCTGACATAATTGGCTCCATAACCTACTAATTTTAAGAACAAACTTCTAGAAATTATCAATATATCACTGTGAAAGAATCATATATTACTGGAATCTCATAGATTGTAAAAAAAATATGACTCCATTGATTTTTTTAGATATATATTGCCCTGGACACTTAAATGAAGTCACCTAAAATGTTTTAAATCCAAAAAGAGAAAAAAACATTTGTTCTTAATTTATAAATATGCTTCTAGAGACCTAAGAGACAATAACTGTCTCAGACTTAATTGGTACAATGTGCCTTGCAGAATAATTTTCACTTAGTGTAAATATTATTTTATATTAGCAATACCACTTAGTCATAGTACATATTATTGTTTAGCATATGTTTTAAAATCTCAATTTACAACCCATTAGTGGATTATGAAATCAACTTAATCAGTCTCTATCAGCAATTTGAAAGAATAAAATAGAATACATCTGGTTGTTATAGTGCACACTCCTGTAATCCCAGCACTCTGGGAGACAGAGGCAAGATGCTTGCGAGTTTGAGCTTCACCTGGGCAATTTAGAGACTTAGAGAGGACTTGTCCCAAAATAAAAATATAAGGGTTGGGGATTTAGCTCAAAGCAAAAGCCCTGGAAGCAATTCCTAGAACTCCAAATAAATAAATAAATAACATCTTCAAGTTTTGTGTGTATGTATACATGTATCCACACAGAGAGATTTTAAATATATCTTAATCTTAAATATAACATGAATGGTGAAAAATTGAAGTGATTTCACTACAAACTATTTTTCTCATTTTGGATCATGTTGGTGGCTTGAAAGAGATGTAAGTTATTATTTAAAGGCATTTCATAAAGATAAGAGGTATATATAAACTTCATGTTATTTGAAATATCAAATGCCTAAGTACAATTTTCATTCAATATCTGCCTAGCATTTACCCAGGTTTGATATTTGTCTTCCTGTTATGTCTAAACCTACTCTAATAATCTAATAGAAGCCAAGTCTCAGTGTCTCATACTTGACACGTCATTTGGCATAGAACATTGCATTTTCCTCAGAAAGAAAGCTTTAATACAGGAATAAGTTTGAGAGTGCATCAATGAGACTTTACTGTAAAGTGTCTGAATTCAATATTTTTACAGATAAATAGCATTAACTGATTTAACATATAAATTTTTCTGTTTCTCTTTTCCCAGGGGTGCATTTTGCATGCTGATATCTGTGACTAATATTCAAGATGCAGTTGCTTATTAGAATAGTACAGATTAATAGACTCCATAGTACATTTGATGTCTAACCAGTCTCATTAGTTTGATAGGTAATATGCTAGAACAAAAATAGTTTAAATAATTATGCCACAAAAATTAGTTTAACTTACAAGTTCTTAATGCTTCAGATTTTTTATATTTTCTATCTATTTTAATTGTAATGCTATCTTCTATATGAAAGCACACATTTGGGCTAAATTTACATAAAACTATAGTTACACAAAATGTTTCCTTTCAAAGAAATATCCTCCAAGATGTTCTCAAGTTAATCAAAATGCTAGGAATCTACTTAAATTTATTTCCTTTTTTGGCTTCACAGAGACTAAATAATAGGTGTGTGAAAAGTCCAATGAATTAATTTGTAATTCTGTGAGTTTTTGCAATCGTATGAATATGCTGTCTTTGTTCAATATCCATAAGGAAAAATAAAACATATTAGCTTGCTTAGGTGCAAGATGAAAAATAAAATTTTTATTTGTTAACAAGTGTGTTCAGAAATTCCTAAAAATGTTTACATTGACAGAGTTTGGGCTGTTTTAAGATAGATAAACTGAAGTCAACTTTACCAGTTTATATCATGCACTGAAAATCATCATGGGTCTGACAATGTTACCCTCTATATTACCCTCTAATCAACATACATACAACTATTTGATCTAAATTTTTAGAGTACACACATAATACTGGGAGGTATTTTTTAAATATTAAATATAGGGGAAATTTCCAACAATTTACTTATTTGGTTACTTTGTTTTAAAACACTGGCTTTTTAACCTGATATTGAGATTTTGTAATATTTGTAGAAACCTTGATTTTGTTGCAGAGTTGATAGAGAATATACATATTGTCAAAAAGTACTCATTAGGTACCCTGGTGCACAAACATACTTGATTATCTCCTTGTCTTGGTTACCCTTTTTCTTATTGCTAAAATAAATACACAGTATCCAAAATTAAAGAATTAATGGTTTATTTAGCTCACAGTTTGTGAAGGTTTCAGTCCATAATCGCTGGCTCCAAAGCAGTGTAGTTGATGGCAGAGGGTACCAGTTCAGAGCAGTAAGAAACAAAAGCAACAAGAGCAAAAAAAGAGGAGCATGGAGAGAAGACTCCTTCTATTCCATATATTGCACATAAGTCACACTCACCCTAGGGTTGCTATAACATTCATATCCATACATCCCAGCATTGGACCATGAACTAATCACAGTTTCTATTAGCCTGCCCCCATGACTACAAGAGGCTTTGGGGGAACATCTAAACTCAAACAATAACACTCTTGACTAGAGAAAGTCTGTTTCAATACCATCTGTGTGTGTGTGTGTGTGTGTCTGTGTCTGTGTGTCTGTGTTTGAGGGGTTCATGCTTCTGAACCATGAATAATAACCTGGTCATATAATTTTAAAAACAGAAAAAGATATACATATATACTATTATTATACTATATACACCATTATTACTGTAATCTCAGAGTTCTTTTGAGTCACATGTCTTTATCTGGGTCTTTCCTTTACTAGTTGTAACTGCTTGCAGAATATATTGATTTATAATAAAACTTTGAATTTCCATAGTATAGAAATAAATAAAAGTAACAAGTTGTCACATTTAAGAGTCTATGGGCACTTTATCTTTAAAAATGACAACACTAGGTAAAGGATCTATTCTTTAATGTGGCCTAAAGAATTCAGAAAATTTTATCTAGTAAAGAAATAGTATACATAGAGGTTTTGAAGAATGTCAAGAAAGAACAAAATTTATCACTTAAAAATTCCAACATTTGTTATGACCACATTGTTTTGATTAGCATGAAACCACTAAAGTCCTTCTCTCAAAAAAAAATTTTCCCCTTAACATGGCAGAGTGTGCACTAAAAACACTATCACTCAACTTTGCTGTAGCCTAAAACAAGACATTTCTAGGAAAGAAGAGAGTATTCCCAGAGCCTACCGTAAAACCTTGGAAAGATGCCAAGCTTCAAAATGGGCCCAGCTCACAACGGGGAACACATGGAAGGACGCTCTGCCCTAGAAAATGCTGTCTGGCACCCAGAGCAAAAAGCCCTCTGTTTGTGTGACCAGCTATTAAGATGTCCATGCACAGCAGAAAGGCCACCATGATCTGACTGTTCTCAGTGCAGAAGAAATCTTGACTGGTGACCCTCAGACAAGTGAAGATTAAGGTGATTTAATGTTAACTCTCACCAGGATGAGATGGATGTTCTACTAGACTTTCAAAATACATCCGCAGTGCAACTACTACTTCCCACCCCTCTTTCTGCCCTGGTCCAAGCTATGGTACTGCATTCCCTTGCTCATGACAATAGACTGACCAGGAAGAGCCTACCTAGGAAACCATAGTCTGAGCCAGTCACGTCCTCACCTGGAATCCTCTGAGGCTCAATGACAGTATATCCATTGTTCCTGGAGACAGACAAATCCCCCCATCCCCAGCAAAACCTGTATGACATTGTGGAAAGCTGTTTACAGTGATTCAGTGACCCCTATGCACCTGAAGTTTTATCAAGCCTTTCACCACGTGTTTGATTTAAATTTGCATCACTCTTGATCCTCCCTCTCTCTCTCTCTCTCTCCCTGTAGTTTTCCTTTTAAAATTGTAATTAATAGACTTTATTTTATATGGCAGTTTTAGACTCAAAGCAAATTTAGGCAGAAAGTATGGTTCTCACATTAATTCCCTAACACACAAGCCTTTCCCACCACCATATCCCCCACCAGACAATGGCACATTACAATCCATAAACATACATTTTATACATCATTATTGAGCAAAATCCACAGTTTACATCAGGTTTCACACTTAGTAGCACACATTCTATGGGTCTTAGGATATGTATAATGACAGTGTCTTATAATAGTTTCAGTATCCTAAAAATCCTCTGACTTCTACTCATTCAACCCTGGACAATTCACTGCATAAAATTAAAAATAAAATGATTATAGTCCTTTTTTAGAGGGGGCAGATGTGGAAAATCTCAGTGAAGACATAAAAACGGGATGACAGAATTCTTTATGAGATGTATCCCCTTGTCCTGAATCAAAAAAAAAAAAAGGTTAAAACAAGTCAGCCTCTCTCTTGTTGAGGAAGTATGAAAGGAAGTGTTTCAGGAAGGAAAAATACAACATTTTTATGGATGAACATAATATTCAGTGAGCAGGAAGTTTGTACAAACTTACCCATCATTGTTAACGTCTGATACTACAACAGTATATCCAAAATAAGATGCCATCTGCAAAATAAAACCGTAAGAATGACATACTTTGTGACAAAAGTTCTTTTTATGGTCACCTCTTATTTTGTCTAAAGGATGCATCTCATTATGCTATATTTCCGCATGTAAATTCATTGACTATTGGATGTGGTCCGATTCTTCAGGTCATTTATTCTAACCCCTGGTCCAATGAATAATTTTCTCTGTAATAACCCTGCCATCTGCTTGGACATCCTCTGGATATGTTCAGCAATCAGTCCATTCAATTCATGGACAGAGTTATTTGAACGTTCATTGCTAAATGTGGCCCTTCCACAACTTCTTGTCCTTTAAACTGTACTAGTTCTGTGGTTTTAAATCTCAACAGAATAAATTTAATCTCATCTCCATATGAAGTCTTATATGAGAATATTTTCAGATTATGCACCATCTGGTCCCAGTTTGTCAGACATACCATGTGTGATGAACGAGCATAGAGGAATGAAGTACTTTTGCAGGGAGGGGATCTACCAAGGATCAAACTCACAATTGCCCTTGCCAGGCAGGTGCTTACACCACTGAGCTAAATCCCTGGCCCCAAGAACAAAGTGCTTTTGTACTCTCTGCTTTGTGCTGTTTATATTACTGAAGCACAAAAAATTCCTTGAGGGAGGGAGTTCGTATCTCAGTTTCCATTTATATTGAATTTTCAGTTAATGAATGCTCCCAAATCTTTTTCACGAGTCTAAGTAGTGTACCATAATGTTCCCACACCTTAGGAACAATTTAGGAACAGTTATTCAAAATTTACATATCTAATCAGCTTCACTCAGGGACATTTTCCAAATATTCCACAGAGAATCACGAGGGGTATGAAATGTTTTATGAAAATTTTACAGTATTTAATAGACAAAAGTCTCAAATTTTGGCAAAAAGATGTTAAAATATATTGTTTTCATTTCTAACCTTGATGATCAGTTTTTGTGGCATGGCTACCTCAGATGTCAGTTTCATATTCAGTACATAATGTGACACCTTTCAACATTTTTCCTATGTCCCAATACATAGAAAAATATATGGTGGCAGTTGAGGTCTAACCTCAAACTACATTTGGTCAAAAAGATGGTGGATTGTTTTCAGGCCTGTGACCCATTCACAATGAGACTTCAGCTCATGACAATGTGTAAAGGTCAATAACTAGTCTCTGGGAGGAAGGCTCAGAACCAATCATTTAAGACTCCATGTAGCACTAAGACTCAGGAGTGGATTCTAGCTACCATGAGTGACAGAGGTGCATGAGCTGTGACGTATAGGAACTTCAGAGTGATCTGTGTCACCTAAGAAGATGAGCAGGTACCAAGAGTCCACCACCTTGTATGAGTACAGTTCCTAAAACATAGCAAAGTCACTCTCCTGTTCCAGCAATCAGTGGCATTTTGCTTTTAAGAAACATGGTCCACCACTCTGTGCAATCCTGGCTACATGTCTAACACTGAGAGAGACTGTGAGAGTCTTAGACACCAAATACATGCTGTAGTCTACTTTCCTAGGCCTGACAATACATGCTCTAGCCTGCTTAGGCAGGATCCTTTATTTCCTAAAGTCCTGATGATACATGTGGACAAGAGAGGAGCCCCTACCTGTATTTCTTAACATTTTGCCTTGAACTTTTTGTTTCCTAGAGATGTTTGATGTATTTCTATCAACAACAAAAACAGTAACAACAACAACACATGCACATATACATTTGCACATGCCCTTATATACACTGTCATGTTATAGAGAACCTGTATCTACCAGGATCAGAGCCCTTTATCATCCGCAGATGCTTATCCAACATGTTCTACTTTTCCCAGGCTACCACTTGCTATTAATCATTACTTAGTCACTTCATTGAGACACTGGCCCATTGTACCCATGGTCTCAATAAATTCTCATTTCTAAATGCAGAGTTCAGTGGCCAAGAAACCTTGCTAAGTAGGAAATAGAATTCTGTCTCTGCCATCTCCAGAATGAGGTTCCCCAGAGGACTGTAATTTGCAAGACAGGAGTTCTCACAGACATCAATGCCAGATTCAAGACATGGCATCAATTTTGAATATGAACTTACTGAAAAATCCTTGGTCAGGATTGCTGACCAAGGCTCATGGAAGAAGCCCCATTTCCAGAGATCCTACTTTCCTCCTGCTTTTTACAGCCATTGTGGCCTTCACCATAGCTCTCAGACATGCCCAGCTGGTTCCTGTTTTAAAACTGTCTTGTTAGCTGCTATTGTCTTTGGATTAGATGTTTCCCACTAATGACTCCATTCCTAGAGTGTCTTTGCCACCCACACTATGTTACATAAATACTGTATTTTCTTTATATCACTGAACATTATTATGAATTATCACCAGTATTTATTTGTAACTGTCCCACTATATCTCATCTACCACACAGCTATGCAAGAACTGGGATCCATTGGTCTGAAACATTGTTGTAACCCTAGGGCCTAGAACAGTTTGCATCACAGAGTAGAAGCTCATCAACTGTTTCTTAAGTGAGTTAGTAAATGATATTAGTATTAAAGTATATTGTGAGCATAGAGTGACATTAATTATTTCATACTAAAATGTCTTTACCTGTTCACCAGTGAAATTCTGTATGAAAGTCATGTCTGTGGAGTTAATGATTGAGACCTGAAATCATGGAAATTTGACAGTCACATCATTTGACATAGAACTGAAGAAGGCTTTTTCAACTACAATTTAAACCAGCTAAATTTTGTGTGAAAAGTAATTAATGTTTAATTATATGTAACATGAAGATGTAAGTCCACAAAGATGATAAAAGAGGATATTTTCAGACAAAACTCATGCAGAGTGGTAAAGAGTAATTGAATTCAAGAACATTGAATGTAATTAACCTGGTGGTCAGTTAGTTTATTTAATCACAACTTTGGTTTAAATCTATTTATGTTCTTATAAGAATGACTCTTTGTAAAATAATGTTTTTGAGTGCTTCCACATAGCAAAAGTAGTTTTTAAATTCTATTCAGTCAAACTCAAATCTATAAACAATGTATGCTTTCTAAATGTCTATAAAAAAGTAAACATTGTCATATACATATATACCATATATATGGTATATATAAGATATCTATGTATACATATATAAGGTATATATATATATATATATATATTTGTGTGTATATATATATATATTTGTGTGTATATATATATATATACTTTTCCTAATTTCATGGTAACTAGTTATAATGGGATTGAACAGTATCCTAAATTCGTATCTATCTACATCCTAAGAACATGACCTTATTGAGAAATAGGGTCTTTGTAGATGAAATTAGACAAGAATCTCAGGATGGGCTCATTTTAGGTGGCCTTGAACCCAACGGTTGGTGTCCTGCCATTGGTCACTGGCCGTCTGCCTTCATCACTCTTGGCTTAGATGGGTCACAACTTGGTTTAATGTTCTGTTGTTGCTTCCATAAGGTTTTTAATAATTTAAAATAGAAAGAAGAAAGGATACGCACAGAGATAGAAGGAAGAAGGCTGTGTGGTGATAGAGGTAGAGATTGGAGTGATGTTGCCACAAGCAAAGGAACCAGGAGCCACTAGAAGCTGGAAGGGTCAAGGAGAATGCTCCTCTAGATGCTTTGGAGAGAGCATGACCCTGCCACAGGGTGATTTCAGACTTCTGGCCTCCAGAACTGTGAGATAATAAATGCATGTTGTTTTAAACCACCTCAGCAAAATAATACACTAGTGAAATAAAAATTGATTTTATCATTCATACCATGTGAAATATTAAGGGGTCAATGATAGGAAAGGCAGCCTGCACAATACTTCTAGAATGTGCATGTAAACAGGGCCACTACCTCCTTGACTATGGGCTTAGGTGAGTCACACCTTGGTTCAATGCTATACTGTTGCTGCCCTGGAGTTTTTAATAATTTAAAACTCTGATAGCTACAAGTCTCTACAAAAAAGAAATGCACTCCACATTTTCATTTTGCAGTTGTTCCCATAATTCATTGGTGATAATTTAGCCTCATTTATTTTCTTTTCTTCTTTGTAAGAAAATGCTTTGAACTATGTGGAGGAATTCATTACTAAAGGAAACTTTAGAAGATTCAAAAGTTACATGCAAGAAAATAACCCATTTATTTGTGTAAACAAGAAAATAGAATGGATTCCCAGTACTCACGTATCCAAAGTTTTGTGCTCCTCTTGGAACTCCAGCAACCAGTTCTGGACATAAAAGTAGACGTTGAGAAAAAAAACTGAATATGTGGCTAAAGCTGGTCAGCAAACAAGTGATAGTAAAAACAGTGCCCTTAAATGAGTAATCATCCTGGTGAAGGTTAGCAGTTGGAAGGGCGGGTTTTGCATTTACTTTTTAATTAGATTTTGTTTTGTTCTGCTTTTTTGACAGACAACAGATACAGAAAAACGAAAGTTGTACTTTGAGATTTTCCAGTTTTTGCCAGTTTGCTTACATCTCTGCCTCTAGAACTTAAGCTTGATTTCTTAACCTGCCTGTGACTTGTAAGCCGAACTCCATACTGTGATGTTGGCCACCTCTCCCTCAAAGCACACCTTTTCTGCTGGCATAAAAGTATATCCACAGTCATGCTAATATGCTAAAACAGTACTCGTTACCAAACAAAGCCACATGCTGTAAATTACGGGAGACTCAAGGCATCTGATCTGAGTTCTGTTTCAAGAGGATCACTCTGGCTGCTGGATGTAGGTAGAACACAGGACAGCAGGGAGGCCAGGTAGGAGGCTACTGCAGTCATGAATGAGGGTGAACTTGGGTCAGATCAAAAGTTATAAAAGGAGTAAAAAGTGGTCTGATTCTGGTAGGATTTTGAGGGTTTAGTGAGCAGAATTCACTTATGGATTAGATATGGAGTATGAGAGAAACAGTACACTCCACAGCTGGCTTTCAGAGTTTTTGGCTTGAGAAACTTGGAGGGTGGTAATGGCATTTGATTGCAACTGGCAGGGTGACAATGGAATGTGATTTGGTTGGAAGGTCAGGTGACTGGGTACCAGCACACAGAGTTTGGGGTAGCTACTGAAATAGAAATCCTGAGTAGAGTTGGATCTGTGAGTGTGGAATCAAGTCTAAACTAGAGAACTGAATGAAAGCTGGATGAGATCACCAAGAGAGAATTCATGGGTAAGGATGGCCCATATGTTCAGTTCTGGGCCTTATGGGGAAAGGAGGGAAATAAAAGAGCTGTCAGGGTCAGGGAAGCCAAGTGGACAGATGAGGAGGGAAGTATCTTTGCCCAATGTTCCTGATAGACGAGGAAGATGCCTACACAGGGACCTTGAGTTTGCTTGGCAAGAGTTATTTCAGTAGAGCAGAAGCCTAGCGGAGCAAGATGGACATTAACAGAAGGGAGCTGATGATCAGAGACTACAGCCATGCAAAGGAGTGGTAGCTCCTTCAAAGAAAAGAAATGTAGGTAACAGTTGAAGAAGGGAGAAGGGCAAGAGTTATATTTCTTTTTCTAAGGTGGGAGAAATATTAGTATGCTTACATGTTAATGGGAATGATGCAGGAAAGAGGGAAATGTGGATACAGTAGATTGAAGAGCAAGAATTTCTAGAGTCCCATTCTCTGACAGGGGTCAGGCATAGGGCAGGGTTGATCTACAGTGACAGGAGGAAAGGTGAAACACAGTCTTGAAGATGATGATGAGGTGCAGAAGAACCAAGCCATCTGGATGCATTCTCCAGCTAGGGAAGTTTGCAGAATGCTAGCATGCTGCTCGGTTTTCAATAATCCTTTTTTTTTTTTTTTTTTTCCGGTACATGGCAAACCACAATCAGATACAGTGAAGTTGACTGATGACTGATTTTAGGGTCGGGCCTGTCCATTAAGAGAGATTATGCCATGTAAAATGCAGAGCAATCACATAACTTTTCGTGTCCCACAAACATTTAGAATTTTTCTTTTTAAATCAGCCATTGCACCCAGTAACTTCAGAGTCTGCAACTTCCTATGACCCAACCTCTAGGGAACTATTAAAAGTAATGTTGATTAAATACATTCATAATTATTTTTTAAATTATTAGGACAGTTTAATTGTTTGAGGTCTAAGGCAAATTAGAACTGTCACTCAAGTACACAAATTTTCCTTTGGAAGGGAAAATAAGAGTTGTCTTAAATCCATTTCAATAATTCATGGTGAAAGCTTCAGAGGTTTCTTAATATCAACAATATGTTCAGGAAAATTTTAGGTCTTTGACCTGGAAATGCATGACTTGGACATCAAACCCACTAGCAAGAAACAGAAAGGGAGCTAGCCATATCCAAAGTGTTCCACCTACTAAACAATGAGCCATGTGCTTTATCATATTTCGCTTCTAGACTGGAGACACTAATATCCTTTTTGACATACAGAGAAATAGAACTAATAGGGAGTAGTAGAGAACAAGAAATGACAGCAATGACCAATTAGTTTGTTTAGATCAGGCAAGACCTGATCACTTTGTTGGGGCGTAGGTCACCACATCTGATGTCTAAATGAGAATAGTAACTCTGAATGTTTTTGAATCATAAACACATTTGAAACTGGAATAAAATTATGGACACTACTGCCAGAAAATACAAACATATACAAACCTTCCATTGATTCCTAGGAATTGAAGTATAGTGAAGCCCATTCACCCAAGGATCCCTCAGCCAGAGGATAGAGAGTAATTTTTCATAGAATGCCCACTCTCTGTTGTCTAATTAAGTACATAGTGGATATGAATAGCCTTGGATTTCTAATGGTCTTATAAATGGAATGCGGTTTTTTTATAGTGCTTTCATTTTATATATCCTCATATCATTAAAATATAGATGTCTTTTCTGGATATTTTTGAAAGCCAGTGTAAAATCACTATTAGTTTCAATAATTGTTTCCTAGAATATACTGTTGTACATCATTACTAATTTCTTCAAGTCAGAACTAAGTAGTATTTTGGGGAGTTCTGAACAAGAGCCCTAATGTGCTTTTTGAAAAAATCATTTGGCACATTATACAATTTCCTGTGCTAAATTGCTAACTGGATGATTATAAAATTTGACGTTTTAAAATATTTCTTTTTCTCTGATGGCCCCTAATCCAATACTTATTTCCTATGTATTAGAGATTGTTCCAGTTTATGGCTATAAAGATTTAGCCCATTTAGTCCTTTAAAAATCCTAGGAGACAGACAATACTATAAACATCAACCCCTGTTCTAAGAGTGAAGAAATGGAGGCACCAAGATATTAGATAATTTGCCTAAGATCTCAGCACTAGTAAAGTCAAGGTATAAACCCAAGAGGCTCATATTTAAAGTCTCACCCCTTAACTACTATAATATACTGCCTTATAAGAGCTTGAAATAAATGTAAGAGAAAAAGAGGTTCTTTAAGAATTAGCTTATATTTAAAAGAAAAATTATTGTTATTAACCTCTACCAAACTACAAAACTTTATGTATTTCTACATGATATAACTTATCAATATTAAACCATTAAAAAATCTTTGCTGACTCTGAGAGAAGACCATCCTTCACTTGTGCTTGTGATTAGTTAAAACATTTCATGAGTGACAGCTAATGTTCATATGGAACAAAATGAAAATGGCAAATATTGATTAATGATTGACTCAATCACTATCCATTACCAGCTAGTAAAAGAAACTACTTATAGCCTTGTGTACGAAAAATATTTTTCATGCATCATCCCATGCAATCTTCAGGATGATGTTTTGAGTTACATAGGATTAGTGTCATTTAAAGATAAATAAATGAGAATCAGAGATTGCCACATCCTAAGAAATACAGTCGGTAAAATCAGAATTTGAATGTATATAGATATTGACTCCAAAGATTCAACTTATTTTTATCAGACTATTTTATATATGAGTCTATCACAAGGAGAATGTGGAATTGTTTGGGAAATAAATGAGAATAATACACAGATTTTGCCTTCTAGGAGCTAATTGGAAACATAAAAATTCTAGATAAAACAGTGTTCTTCCCTACCCTCATCCCAAGCAAGTCTACACAGGAAGCAGCCAGTGTGATTTTCTTTCTTTCTCCTCTCCCTTTCATCTTTCTTACCTTTCTACACTATAATTGTTATGCTATAAATATGATACAACCCCCAAAGACTCACTGAAGGCTTGATTCCCCCATGAAACAACTGTTCATAGGTGGGGCCTTGCATCATGCAAGGGCTGTTTCATTGATGAATTCATTAAGTGAATAGGCTACTAGGAAGTGAAGCCTGGTTCCTGAGCCTGTGAAGCCTACATATCTTCTTGGTCTCTTTCCCACTCCCTCTTCCTGGAGCTGAGCAACTCTCTGCTACCGCACCCTTCTGTTATAATGTTTCTGCCTTGGAGCCAACTAACTGGTGGATTGACACTTCAGAAATCTGAACTAAAGTAAATCTGCCCGCTTTAAGCAGTGACCGTAAAGGATTTTTTTCCAGCAACTAAAAGTTGACAAACACAGAAATATAATTGGATTACATTTACTATTGTTATGAAAGCATTCATGGCTTCTCTATATTTTTCATCAATTTCAGCATCTTTTCCTTGACTAAAACACCCAGCATGAACCCAGGCCCATTCTCTTTCTCTAACTCAATCTCACTTCATGATAAGTTCCGAAGTCTGGCCAGTCAAAATGAGTTCCTTGAATGCTCCAATCTTTTATATATTTTAGAATGTAAAAGTTAGTCCCTTAGTCTGCACCCTAGCCCAGTTCCCTTCAAAGGGAACCAAAGTTTCCCTTACTCTATATTTTGAAGTTTATTCTAGCACTTTTCACAATATTTAATCAGATCTTCTATGTTCCTTCTTTAATGTCTACCAGCTCTAATATATCATAAATTCTGAGATTAAGGATCATTTTGTCTCCTTTAAAAGTCTGACCCAACAGAACCCAACCATTAGTAGATGTGCAAAAATGTTTGAGGAGGTTAGATATGGGGTACATGAGAAGCTGAGACAGGAGAATGGCAAGTTTGAGCTCAGCCTGGACAATGTATTAACATAGTAAGACCCTGTCTCAAACTAAATCAAACTAAACTAGTCAAAATTTTAAAAAATAAAGGGGGATACAATATAATGGTTGTGGGTATAACTCAATATGAGCACTTTGGGTTCAATTTCCAGTACTAAAAAAATTAAATAAAAGCTTGAGGAATGAATGGCAAATATCTTAGAGTAGAGAAAAATGAAGTGACATGGAAATTTACAAGATAAAACTAAACAAGGATTTCTGGGGATGGGGACACTTAAAATTGGCCTAAAAACACTTAAGTAAAAGCATGTGGCCACTGGTAGATGAGATGGCTACAAGATCAGAGGATTAAAACATAGAAGAAGTCAAAGCAAAGTACAGAAGACAAATGATGAAGGACATGTAGGTGAATAGAGAGTAGTTCCTCTTCTAGCCAGACTGGACAAATCCTAAGAGGAAAGGGAAATAAAGCTGGCATTTGGATGAGAGTCTGGATGTATCCAGTATGTGTTCCTAGATATTATGGTAAAAGGAGGGATCTTGATTTCTTACATTCTGTCACCAGCAGTGTGGCCATTGTCTAAGTCATTTAATTATCTCAACAGTGTATTTTTCATTTAAAACACAGGATGACCCCTCTAATTTTGTATTGCTGAAATAGATTTTATAAAGTTTGGTATTGATTTTTTTTTGTTTTTTAAATTTTATTAAAGGAGAAAAAGGCAGAAAAAGGGTGCAAGATATACAGAATTTCAGAAAAAAATGAACAGTAGGAAGTCACTAGTTAATAGATTACATATTGTCATCTTAGAAGTATTTGTTCAAGTTACAAAATTAAAGCATATAAAGTGGACACTCAAATAATGAGACTGCAAACAGTTCTGTTCAATGATCCAACAAAACTCAGTAGTATGGTTATCTATCTTTTACACTTAAATATTCATGTAGTTATGCCGTTTAGAGCACTTTCTTTTCCTCTCTTTTGTACAATGACAATTACACATTTTGGGTTTTATTATTCCCACTTATTCTTATTACTTTTTTATTCTTATTACTTTTTTTTTTGAAGATAGTAAAACCAAATGTGACATAACAGAGTAGAGTCAGTCACATCAAAAGGATGGACTTAATATATAATGTAAAAACATAATACAAGGTGATCAACAATGGTTACCATGATGCCTCTTGCTATCTTAAAAAGAATTGACTATATCATGTTATAATAAAATTGAACAAAACAATAAAGAACAAAACCAATAAAACCAAAACATTGGAGACATTACAGGTCTTCAAAAGAAGATACTAGTCAACCAGAATGGGCATCATAATGAATCTTATTATCTTCACAGTTGTTGCCTATAAAAAGTTTGGTATTGATTCTTATGAAATTCTTCAAGACTTAAAACTGTGTATCAACTTATCTATGCATTTCCAAACATATGCAATTTGGGATCCAATTTATATATATTTTGTAGAGCGATGAAAATGATGTTTACAGAAGGATGTTTATGACATTTTACCTCTCCCCATGCTTTTGAATGACTTAAATTGGATGATGTCTCTCACCTTGCTGAGAATCTCCAGTAAATTCTCCAGCAGCAACTGAGTATCCTGTTTTGGAGAAAACAAATAAACTAATAACATTTGATGACTCAATAAACAAGTTATATCTAGAAAAAATGAAAATATTACCATGGTACTGCTTTAGTCACAGATTATTACAAACATTATAAAAATAAAGGTTTCTGTAAAAGGAAAAATTAATCACACTAATATGAATGCTTCACACTAAATTCTAGAGGCACAATAGATCTGCTACTGTAATCTTAGAAAAGAGCATAATGAAACAAAACAAAAATTCTATTTGGAGGCCCATTTTTAAAGGATAAACACTTCACAATTCATCTTGTAATGTAAATGACAGACCTTGTATTTTAAGAGCAACAGATTCATGGTCATCGAACATGATAATCTAACAGGTAATTTTTGTGCTTGGGCTTTACTATTTCTAATCATATCATCAAAAAGTCTGCTTCATAATTCTTTCAATGCTGATATTCCACAAATTTCACTTACTCTAAAGCAAGGTGCCAACTACACTGGCCAAAAATTAGTGTCATTCTTTACTTTTCAAATTTATCAAGCTATCAAAACATCATTAAAATCCCCAAAATAGAAAATACCTTTGAATGTCAGTTTTCACATAACAAAAAGTAAGAATGGTATAGCTTGCTATGTCTTACATCCAAATGTCTCCCTCTACCCTCATGCACTCACAAGTGAGGTTTTGGTGAGTGACTGGGTTGTGGGTGGGTGGTACTGGCTTAGTCCTCTAATTGGCTTAGCATAGTACTGTGTCTGGATGATGGCTTTACGCAAAAGGACCCACCCTGGGTGTGGATGGTAACAAAGAATATAGTTGTAACCTGGATGAAATAAAAAGGGGAAGAAGGAAGGCTTGATACTTCCTTCGTGGTATGCCAGGAGCCCCTTCTCCTCTGCCACACCCTCTGCAATACCACTCTGGCTTGGAAATAGCTGATGATGGAAGAAACCTCTACAAAATGTGAGCTAAAATAAACCTTTCCTGATTTAACTTGTGGGAACTGTTGGATATTTGGTCCCAGCACCAGGAAAGGCAACTGAAAGATACAGCTTGTGGAAAGTCTCTTGTTGCTGTTCTTGAAACAGGTTAGGACCCCTACCATGTTGCCCCCATAGCACTGATTTACCTCTCTACTACATAATGTCTACTTCCAGCAAAATAGTTTATGTGCAAAAGAGCTGCTAGAAAAATACAGCACTCAGCCTATGTAGATTACACGTGATGATGAAATCATAGTTAAATTTATAAAGAAATGCTGAGTTTATTCTAAACTATAAAGCTTGCATAAGACGTCAAACAACTTAGGAATCAAATTCGTATCTACATTTAATATGTTTGTCTTTTAAGAAACCATAAATATCTTCAGCAATGGATCTTACCGAGGTAACTATCGTCATAGGAAGCTGGAGCAACTTCTGTCCGCTTTTCTCCAGCCAGTTTCCTTAGAATGTCTTTGAATGAATAATTTGCAATGACATCTGCAATACTGGCAGTGATGACCTGACCTGTGTTTAAATAAATTAGTAAATTAATTGAATGAATGCAAGAAGCAGGCCCTCCTTCTGCAGACCCAAAACCACGCAGTCTCTGAAAACCATCATGGTATTGCTTGTGTTTTGATATAAATTCCCCTGTTTACCACTAGACCTACAAGGTAGAGCTGGTTGCTCTGGGTGGAACATTTTCACAGAATGTTGTCAGAAATACTGATGAGCTACAATAGTTTGTCTTCCTGTTGGTTTCAGTGTACGCACTCCCTTCACCTTTAAATGTTAGAAGTATTAAAGAATTACTTGCAGCTGACATTTATATGGTTAAATTTTTATTCCAGAATTCCCTACAAGGAAACTTAGAGGTCATCTAGCCAAATACAACTTTCGTTATAGGTGGCTTAAGTGTGGCTTAAGTGTGTTCTTTAAAGTTTTGTTAGTAGGATATTTGGCATTCCAACCAAGGTCTCCTTTGGCATTCTAATAAAACTTGTTGTATTCTTGCCTAGTGTAGATATGCAATTAAATCTAAATCACTTACACTCAACTAAGAGATTATAAATATATCATCTAAATTCAAGAAAGGAGTTACATGATCTTTGAGATTTTTTATGCTAATATATACTAATAAATATATATAATAAATTTATAATGGTAGAAGTTATCCAGATCTAATGAGATCCAGAATTTCAGTAAAAATGGAAACAATGAGTATTGATACTGACACATTAAAAATTGTGCTTAATCTCTGCCAAATAAAGTTACACACTGATGTCATGAAATACAAATGGACTGGGATGCACAAATGTCTACAATATCCCTAACAATGTTCCACCAAAACTTCTATCTATTCCTGTACTGATTATGGAGATCTAAGGCAAAAGTGTGATTTCACGCTCTTTGGGAGAAAACTAGAGAAATGTTTCCAAAAGGTTAATATTTAACCTTAATTTTAAAGCCAAATTATTCTTTGAAAGTTCACACATAATTCCCATTGTCTTTCTGTTTGAAGTCCAAAAAACAGTAAAATTGTGTCATAACTATTGTCAAGTAATTGGGACTGAAATGCCTGTTCTAATACTAAGATAACTGTGTTTACACACAAATTTATGAAGAATATGAGCATAATTTGCTGATTTCTTAAGGTTAAATTTCAATAATCCCTTTCTTGCCCATATATACTGCTTTTATTTGTCTCTTTAACTCACTCTGTAATCTTTAAAATCTTAAGCCTGTATGAAATTTTAAATTGTATATCTCATACAAATGCTTCTACATATACTTGCCATAGTTTATTTTCAAATCATTTGTATCAGACATTTTTTCCAACTTAAATAAAGGAATGGCTTATGTAAAATTAACCAAATGAATTAAAGAAAATCTAAAACAAACATGATTTTATATCCATCTGTTGGATATTATATTTTGTTTGCAAAACAATTCCTAAAGATCAAAATGATAATTATTTGATGTTCTTAATTATCTATGCATGAATTAAGCTTAATAGTAATTACATATAAATGTTTATCATAATTTCATCTTCCTGGATCTTTCCCATGGGTTTTAAATATGCTCAGGTCTCTTTCATTAAAAAAGTATCTTCCCTCAACTATTTATCTGTCTCAAATTCTACCCTGTTTTTATCCTAACTGTACAGACAAGATTCAGTCTGGATTCTCTGTATTCTTGTTAAGCGTGTCATTCATTCCCATGGCCCCAGTTGCTGCCAATATAAATGATGCAAGTTCATGTTTTATCCAAGATAGCTGTCTGGAGATTAACCCTATATTCCTAAATACTCATGTGAAATCTCTTCGATATCGCATTTCCATACTCTGCAAAGCCAAAACCAAACTCACTGTATTCTCTCTCCATCTCATTTCAAATCTACTCTTTTCAGTATTTTCTATTTCAGTGGTACAGGGAAAGAAATCAGAAACTTATCTTTGACATCTTCCCGTTCCTCACCACCATACTGCCACCCATCACTTAGGCTTTTTATTTTGCCTTTAAGATATCTCACAAATTTCTTCTGGTTGTTTATCTTTTTAAATCTACAACATCACTACTCTGAGAAAGCAAACACATTTACCTGAAACTTAGGGCTAGTTGAAGTTAGAAACTCATAATTAGTTTATACCCTTATAACAGTCTTGTAACTACTGTAATTTGCTGATATTTCTCTTCTGCCAACTTTCAATTCCCTTTCCATATTATGGCCAAAGTAATCTTTTCAAGACATGCCTCCTGCATCTGTTCCACGGTTTCCTAAGCAGACCACAAGTTGTATTCCAGCTCCCTGCCACCAATGGTTGGAGTACTAGGTCACCTGTGTGTAGCCACTCTAAGGCCTCCTGTGTTCTCAGGGCCCCATCACAACACAGTTTTCCATCATTGTGTGTATCACAGTTGGAGCTTTGGAGGTACTCCTGTGGCTATCTGGTTCACATCTAGGTCTTTCCAAGATACTAGTCTATATTAAATCATGTCTGCTCTCACTCATTATCCCTTCATCTCACACAAAGTTTGGCATAGCCCCAATAGATGCTTGGTGTATAAATGAATTGTTCAGATGCAAGGATATTTTGAAATGTCGCATATATAACAAAGTAAAAATTGAAACAATGCTATATTCAAGAAACTATTAATAGGCATACGTGTTGATATAGTGTAACATCAGCATTTAATGTTATTTTTGCTTCATTTCCTTATTAATAACAACAAGTATGCTTTTCTTTTCTGCTACAAGAACATACCTTGCCAGTAAAAACTTCCAGGTCCTCCTACTATAAGGTCTCCATTCTACAAACAGAACAAATAGGAACAATTGGAAAACAAACACCAAAAATTTTTAAAGGGTGACAAACTATTGCTTATAAGCCTGGATTTAATAATTAGTTAGACATAACAAAAACTTTTTAAATAAGTTTTTACAACAGGGACTGCAAGTATTTTCTTTCCTCTTTTTACCTTCAATTACTTAGTGTGTTATCATATTAAATGATTTTAATTTAATGCAATTAAGTAAATGGAATCCTCTCCCTTGACAAGATATAGATATAGATAAAGATATAGATATGTATATACATACATACATATATGCACATAAATTTTTGGTATTATCTGTCATAAACAAAATATCTCCATGTTTAATGTTGTATAATTAGCTGACACGGTTTTTTGAAATGCCATAGTGATAAGAAGCAAATCCTATTTCAATGTTTTTCTAGGCCAGTAATTCTTTATTCCATAAATCCTCAAATCCATCCCTTTCTCTGGAGAGAAAACACAACTGCAGGCCAGCAAGTATAAACATTTTCTCACCTACTTATAGACCTGCTTCCCCAGCCTGAACCTATAACTTTAGTTGAGTAAAATTAAAACAATACAAAAAAAGCAATGATAAATACAGTAAATAGAAATGAAACAACATATGTTGAAATTTTTCCACATTGTTTTCAAAACCTGAATCTTTGACTTTATTTGCACTAAAGGTCTGTTTTAATTGGGTAAGACAGTATGTGACTTTCCTTATGAATATTAATAACAAATCAGGCAATTTCAGGTAAGAGATAAAAACAATTTATAGCTCCTTGTGACTTTTTTGAAACATTTTTCTGATTTTTTGAGATTTTCATTTAAAAACAATTGTTCCAATGGGTATGAGTGAATTTCACCATGTGTTTCTGTATAGGTTGCCATATACACATATTACTTAATAACTAAAGAACAAACAGAGAAAAGTCCATGAAGTTGCTCCACATGGCTAACTATCTACATAAAGATTTTGTGGAGGTGTAGAAATGAAAGATCAGCAACAAAAAAAGTATTAAATATTAGAAGCACAAAAATGAAAGTATTAAATATTAAAAGCTGCAAGACAAAAACAATTTACCTTATAAAAATCCAGGCTAAATCCTGCTTGGCAGTAACCTTGACCTTCAGGATCCGGATTATCTAGAATGATCAAAGTATATATTATAATGTTATCTTTTCAAAAATCTATGTTAATAACCAATTCAAGACACTTTGTTCTTTATAGACTTATAAATCTTCCCAATTACACTAAGTGCTTTATATTTATTTTTTAAAATTCATTTCAAACAATTTATTAAACATATTTTCATGCATTTTTAAATCCCAAATGGTATTGTGATTCCACAGTAAAGTCTACAGGAATTATGTTTGTGGGTGTTATTTTAAGTTGATTGAACACAACAAGTACTAACTATACAGTATTTAGGGAATATATATAGAAATAAGAATGTGTGTTGGGTTTTATACTCATGTTCACTTGAAGAAGTAAAATCTTCATGTTCCAATTTGTCTATGGAGTAGTAACATCTCTCCTTTGCCCATCTTGATATGCCTGCTCTTCCTAGCAGGTGGGCCTCAAGAGAGAACTGTGTGCGTCTTTCACTGGGGGCACCAAAGAGGATTTCCATTTCTATGCTTCTTAATAATAAAATGATTCTATTATGATAAGTTAGATAAATTGGCAGATTTCTGGTCATAATGACTCTCACAGGAATATTTTAAAGATCATGTTCACAAAAGAAAATACTCTAGTAATGGTTTATTTTATATTCTATGCAATGTAATGAACTCACTGAATGTTCAATAAAGGTCTCATCATAAACTTTTGTAAATTACAAGCAGGCTGACATAGGACTCCAAGGATATTGTTAATAAAACCTTTAGGACCTTAGGATCAGTAATTTGTTACTTATAAATTATAATTTTAAAAAGATTCTACAGCTTCTAAATGCTTAAGCTATATCGTACAGTTAGATATGAACATGATAATAACTGTTTCATTCTTACAAAGACTATTTCTCAATGGAAAACAAAATGAAAGAGCAGGAAAGGAAATAAGGAAGTGCACATCTTTGTAGGAAACACATAGAGGCCTGGGAAGGGACTTGTTTTGTGGTGCAAGGGCCCAAACTCCCAAGATCCTTCCTGCACGTTAGGCAACTGCTTGACCACTGAGCTAGACCCCAGCACATGGAAGCTTTTTTGAAATGCGTTTGATCCTTTCAACTCCCCTAGAAAGTGTTATGTGTTCTTCTTCTCTTTGGTCACTACTTAGCTAATTTTAGCATGGTCCTCAACAGTTCTTTCCATATGTTCCCTTTATTCTTCTGAATAACTTTCCTACTTCACATAGTATATGGGCACAAAATTTGTGCCTACTTTTAAAACTGTATGTTGTGGATTATGGTTATAAATTTTATAGAATTCTTTCAAAGTTCATCTGTATAACCTCAAATGTCTGGATAGTAGGTTTCGAGACATTCACAGTTGTAAACATATGTACCTGGAAATATATGTAAACACACGATATATTACTATGTGAATCCCTCTATCTGTCTCTCTCTCCCTCTCTCTCTCTACTCTCTCATATAAGTTTAAGAAGTATATTTTAAATGCACTAATCATTTTAAATACTTTTTAAAGATCAACATTTATTTTTAATAATGCAAATTATCAAAGGGGGGAAAGCATGACCATTCTTTGAAGATATTTTGTTTTAAAACAGGAAATAAAGTGAGAAAATATTTTTAAACTTCATTGAGAAGACAACCTGCTTCCGCTGTCTATTTTTCAGTGGTAGTTACAGTAGAGGAAGTTCTTTCCTCTGAAAGGCATTTCTTAAAAATTATTGCTTATGAGAGCTAAAGGAATCTTTCAACCTGGAACTTCAGAGCATTTCTGAACTCACAATAACTTCTCTGGGTGAATTCAGGAATTCAGGGACACATGCTGACTGTTCACCACTATTTGTTGGCTTCCAACGGAAAACCAAATGGTGTGCGTGAACTGTCCTCACCTGAATTATGAATGATTGAAAGAGCTGAATGTTTGTCATTAATATGAATGAGCTGACTCACAGATTGCTCGCTGTATTGGCTCAGTTCATTGGGTTTGTGGCATAGGATTAACATAAATTCTCTTTTGAAAATAATATCACTGATGTTCCTGTTCTGTGATATTGACCATATGCTCATGAACAAGCCGGCTTTGTGTTAATGAACTGTGAACTTCTTAGCCATGACAGGAAGTCTGCTCCTTGGATGATTTGAAGAGGAAGAAGTATGTATAAGAACAGGGTTCTCAAGAGGATACAAAAACAGCCGAAACCCTTCTCAACAACGTACTCAGCTATTCTGAAATTCATTCAAGCTGAGCACCATGAGTTTTTTGGCGCTATCCTTCTATGGAGGAAAATCAATAGTAAATCAGTTGACACTGTAATGTGCCCACAGAGATGCAATTGAGTGTACTTTACCTTAGTATATTTTAAAATAATGGCCCAAAGTCACCCTGAAACTTGTACCTCTCAAGTCTAGATTCTATAGGGCTGTATTTTAATCTGAGACTTCAAGTCCCACAAACAGTTGGGCTAAAGGGCAGAACTCAAAGCAGTGACAAGTTTCAGTACTGATTGTCCTCGGTGCCCATTAGGACATGATGTCTCATCACGGCAGAAGGCATGGGAAGGATGGGTTCATCTTTTTATTTACAATGACTTGCTGTTACGAGGAAGCATCTTTAGTCCATCATGAAAAAATATTATAAAATAGGTGTAAATATTTATGAAACAAATTAAGTATTGAATGTCTTTGTCATAATAATATTGATCTTTTACCAAATCCCAGAGCCAAGCACCCTGGATGCAGTGCAGCCCCAACTCTGGCTCTCTGTGGGTGCTGCCTGTGCCTGGGAAGGGCCTTCTCTCTCATCTTTAATCACCATTTATTCAACATTTCCCTTCCTATCATCCTAGCAAAGGATTTTTCCTTTCTCTCTTGCCCTTGCTATGTTTTTCTTCTTAGTGCTTTTCACTACCTGACATCTTGTTGTGAACTTATTTATCTATACATTTGTTGCTTGTCTCCACAACAGAATTTTGGCTCACTAAACCTAAGGACTGATCTTTTTCCTGTTCATTGATGTATTCCCTGAATGCAGAACAGTTAGTGTGACTGTGCTCAGGAGCACCTGTTGAGTGAATAAGTAATGGAACCTCATTACCTACAAGTTAAGATAAAGTCCTTTTCTCACAGACTGTTCACTCAGCTAACTTTCAGAAGACCTAGTTTTGTCCTTGCCAAAATTTCACCAAAAGCCACCAGAGTTCAAAAGTTCTGTTCCTGGGCTGGGGATTTAGCTCAGTGGCACAAGTGTCTGCCTGGCAAGTGCGAGGTCTTGAGTTTGATCCCAGGTTCCAAATTTTTAAAAAAGTTCTATTCTCAGTTCTTTGGAGGTCTAAATCTTTTTAACTTTCTCCTGTTACTGAATGCAAAATAGGGTTTGCTACTCAGACATAGGCCTAGCCCGAAGAGGTGGGTCACTGGGGGTGCAGGCCTAGATGGCTGTAGGTACCTCCTGGCGCCTCTCCTGCCTTGACTCCTTTGCCGTGATGTGAGAAACTTTCCTCTATTTGCCTTTCTGCCTGTCCCTTTACCATACTGCCCAGTCTTGAAGCCGGCCAACTCCAAACTGAAATCTCTACAAACTAACTGTAAGTCACAGTAAATCTGTCCTTTTTTAAATTGTGGGTGCTGGGTGCTGAGACAGTGTACATTTTCAACAGCCACTGAGAGTCTAAAGCCTAAAATAAGGAACCAATCCATTCCACTGAAGAGTATCTAAAAACTAAATTCTCACAATGTGGGAGAAGAGCACAAGAAATCCAAGTCTTGGTGCTCCTATCACAGCAAAAAACCACCCAAAGTTGTCAGTAACCTATACTGTCATCTCATTTCCACTTAATGGAATAACTTATTGATGGTATTTTGCTCTTTCAGTTTCAAGGAATAAAAATAACTTACAGGACTGGGATTTAGCTCAGCGGCACAAGTGCCTGCCTTGCAATCTCATGGTTGTAAGTTCAATCCGTGATACTGATTAAAAAATAATAATAATAACTTACTGTTCCGACAAGGAGAGTACTCAGCATATGCACTGAAATTCTGAATTGCTACGTAGCAGGTGCCCACTGGATCCTTTTCTGGTGATGGTTTAAGAGTTCTCCAGTGATATAAAGGAGCACAGGCCTGTAAAACATCAAATTAACTGACATATTTTTATCTGTGCTTCTCACACACTAGTTTGATTTGAATTATTGATGAGTGCACCTAAATTTATGACAAATGGTGTTAAATTAACAGGTGAATTAATTAATTGCTCCTCAGCACGCTAATGACATAATTAAACCTTCCAAAATAACTTGCAATATTAACATGCTGTAGAACTGGCAAAAACTAAGCACATGCCAGGGAATGAGTTCTCTTGCCACAGAATCATAAACTAAAAGTGATCTGGTGAAAGGGAATTACCTCCCCAAAGCAAAGGATTCATACTTTCTTTTCATGCCTGTCTTGTTTAATTGGGAAAAGATGAAAGCAAATTATCATTCAAACAGTGAATAAGTCACAGTAAGGTGTTAAAATAAGAGCTAGTTTCTTTGTCTTGTTCCTTTTTAAAATACTGGTTTTTAAATCAAAGGTTGTAGAGAAGTTTATAAAATTTCATTTTTTGGGTTCCTCTACTTTATTACATCTTACAAATTTTTAAATAATGATATGTTACTCCCTTGTTATGGTGCCTTGGGCTTTATATTAATTTAACTGTTTTTATTCATGGTAAATCTGAAGGTAAAAGACAGCACCTGGTGCCTATTTTAGCAATAGAAAGAAAGTTATTCAAAGTGTACATGTTAATGACATAAAGCATTTTGAGCCACTGAGACTGAGTGTGAACTAATTCAACATTCTGACTCTGCTTCTTAAGGAGAGATTTATTATGATACGCTCTAAAGACTGCAGACAAGATTTTTAAGGGAGATGACTTTGCCAAATCTTTCCATAAATGTGTTATCAATTCTAACAAAACAAAAAAGGTTACCAATAAATGTTACATGCTTATTGCATGCTAACATGTAAAGTGGTAAGTTAGGTAAGAATGCATACTATACACACATTTGCTTACGTGCTAGAGCCTCTTCTAGAATTTATTTAACTGCCAACAGCACTTAGGCATAGAGCTCTGCATTTAAAATTTGATTAATACACGTGTGGTCAGTTAAACTAAATGGCTTCTCACTGGATAGATGTTGAAACACTGAGATTCCATCTCACTCCAGAAAGAATGGCCAGGATCAAGAAAACTACCGACAACAAATGCTGGAGAGGCTGTGGGGAAAAAGGAACTCTCCTCATTGTTGGTGGGATTGTAGACTGGTGCAACCACCATGGAGGTCAGTCTGGAGACTCCTCAAAAAGCTGGGATTGAAAGTCCCATTTGACCCAGCTATCCCACTTCTAGGCATATTTCCAGAAGAACTGAAAACATCGTACCACAGTGATATATATGCACCATATTTATAGCAGCACAATTTGTAAAAGCCAGATCTTGGAAACAACCTAAGTGTCCATCAACTGAGGAATGGATAAAAAAGTTATATTTTTATACAATGGAGTACTACTCAGCTATAAAGAATGATCACATTGAGATATTTATAAATAAGTGGGTGCAACTTGAGACCATACTCATAAGTGAAATAAATCAAACTCACATGTATGAATACTATATAGTCTCCCTAGTGTAAGAAATGGTAAGAGTACAGAAGAGTAATCATGATTTCCCATTACACTGCTTTGAAACTTTATAATGATTGCATTCATTAATTGAAATGGTTTTATCCTGGTTTGTTTGATTTTATTATCTGTGAATGTATGAACAGCTATTTTGAAGAAAAGAAGTCATTGTAATAGCCAGTGCTGATTTAATATCATCTTACTCTGAAGTCCTACCATGATTTTCTCTTCTGTTTCCATTGGTTCTATCATGTTGTATGTTATTGGATTGTATTATGTGTGATGGTATAAACAAATTTTCTGTGGAAAATGAGACAATATAGTAGCCATTGTTCATTTTCTGTTATTTGCTTCTGAATGCCCTGTAATAGTTTCATTCTCTTGAATGATTTTATTCTATTTTGTCATGTTTGATACTATTGTATATGAATTTATGCTCAACTATTTCAAAGAAAGAGACATTATGGTAATTACTGTTAATTATGGGATGTCTTCTGGTGAAATACTGTGTTGCTTACATTGTTCTATTTTGATCTGCTTTGTTATGTCCTGTTTTTTCTGAATCTCTTTAAAATAAAAAAAAATTTAAAAAGAAAATCTTACCATGCCAAATTATTATGCATTGGTTGCTACTGGCTTTGCTTTTATGATACATGGTTTGCCATATCAGAAATTTATTTGAGGCCTCAATCAAACGTCCTAATTTTAGGAATATTTCCCTGGGGAAAATAAGGCACATTACATTATGATGCCATCGGGAGGACTATATTGTGAAAAAATGAAACTGCCTCTAAATTAGCTTACCTCGTAGTGGGAATTTTATCAGCAAAAAGTCATTTAAACAACAGTGAGAAACAAAAAGAAAGGGTTCACGAAATGCTCTGGATTTTATTCAGAAGTTAAGGTTCTATCAAGAGTACAATATTTAAAAGGAAAACCTCTTTAAATTAAATAACATTAATTTTGCTGGGAATGAGAAAGGCAATGGATATAAAATACAGGCATCCTTTTTTGTTTAGAATCCTCTGTGTTTCATCTGCTTGTCCAAATATTCAACTCCAGTGACAGATTTACAGATCCCTAGAACCACTAAACTATCTGATAAGTTGATAAAGAGTAAAAAGTAACTATTCTAGTTGTACAAACTTATAAGTAGATAAAGTCTGCAAGTAGTCAATGACTCCCAATGGGAATTTTAGTGTTCTGGCACAAAAGTTTTTGCTACATGCTTCTGCAGCCAAAGGCAATATGCCATAAATACTCACCACATGGGACTAGTCTATGTGCCGTGGTTTCTGCTTCTTTTCTGGTACATAGTCCAGCTTCCCGCTCAGACTGCAGCCTTGGCTTAATCTCTACACCGCTTACCTGGTATTCTAATCCTCTTATTTTAGTTCATTTTTGCTCTACTTTAAAGTCATTCTAGGTTTCTAAGTGTGTCCTTGATAACTTAGTCCAATATATAACTACTTTTAGTAAAGATAACAATAATCTCAATAATATTCTATAATGTAAGATTTATTTATTTATTTAGGTTTTGTTTTTATTTTTCTGTATACTCTAAAGTCTTGGCCAGTGCCTCCAAACTCTGTAAATCATCTAACTTTCCTTATCTTATGGCCTTTCCAGTCACTGACAAGTTAACTGCTTAATAAATTCAACCTAAGATGTGAATTGTGAACAAAGGACATCGAGATGGTGACAGTCACTTGTGGGCTCAATACACTCCAACTGGCTTCATCTTCTATCTCATCAAAGGAGATTTAATAACATAACATAATTTATAAAATCCAACTTTACCAAAAACCAAGTATTTTTATTGTGACGTGTATTATTGTGCCTTCAATAGTTTTGAAGATTTCTACAACATTAAATAAATGTTTGCTCTAAAGCCTCTTCTAGAATTTATTTAACTGCCAACAGTACTTAGTATAGCGCTCTGCATTTAAAATTTGATTAATGTACATGTGATCATGCTACAGATAAATTTTCAGGACTTAAAAAAATTAATCAATACCCAAAAGATTTTGTGAACCCTAAACAGTTACAAGAATGGAATTAGCATTTTAATAGCAGTTCCCATAAGTCATATATCAGTAAAGCATTTAAAAGATCTTACCAATTCTGAAAGAAAAATATACTAATGCAAATACAGTTTCTCAGGTATTACATTATAAATGATGAATTTCTAACTAGACAGCTGTGTCTATAACTATTATGTCATCTATTTTATGTCAAAATCTTTTAAAACACAGACTTTAACCACAGACTAAATGAAGTTCAGCATCTCTTTTGGGTAGTCTCATTAAGTTAGAATTCTTAAATCCTAAACTCCCAGGCTATTTCTTCATAAGAGAATTAAAGCTAATAAATTTTTTTAAAGTTCCCATACTAACAAATCTTCTACATTAATCCAGTATTGACTGATTTCTCAGTAACCTAGACACACATTTTGGCTTAAAACAATATGAGAAGACAATCATCAACTCATAATACATCACAGAATTTATACTCACCACAACTTTCCCTTTGTGAGCTTTCACTGTTGCTCCAAACCATTGATTTGATTTAAATTCTATAGGTTCTTTAGTTCCATTAACTCTGATCTTTCTGTTATCTGACAAGGAGAATATGAATTATTAATACTTTGCAAAATGTGCCAGCCAGTTAAATTATACAACAATAAATTTCTACATTCAACATACTAAAAGAATGAATACCAATCTTTTTAAACTTGTCCATAAAAATTGATGAAGAGTAATATTTCTGAAAGCCAGCATTACCCTAATGCCAAAGTCTGAATAGGACACTATATAAAAGTAAAATTATGGGCTAACATTCGTGATGAGCACAGATGAAAAATTCCCCAAAAGGATACTAGCAACATGAATTCAGTAGCACAGTAAAAGAATATTTCACTACAATCAAGGGAGATGCAAAAGTGTTTCAGCCAATGCAAAACAATCATCATGATTCATTCCATCAACAGAATGAAGAATAAAATCCATGTGATTATGCAAGAAAAGCACTTAATAGTATTTAATATCCTGTGAAAAAATTTAACAAATTAGGTATAGAAGGAACATATCTTGATATGATAAGGCCATATTTCCAAAGCACATAGCTAGCATCATACTCAGTTGTGGAAAGCTGACCTCTATCCCTCTATGATCAAGAATCAGACAAGAATCCCCACTCTTATCACTTCTAACTAACATAATATTTAAAGTCCTAACCAAAGCAATTGGGCAAAAAAATAAATAAGAGAAATCTAAATCAGAGAGGAAGAAGTTAAATCATCTCTGTTTGCATGTGACATGGTCTTATTACAGAAAACCCTAAAGACTCTATCAAAAGTATTCAAAATAATAAATTTATTGCCCAGGGGCTGGGGATTTAGCTCAGCGGCATAAACGCCTGCCTTGCAAGTGTGCGGTCTTGAGTTCGATCCCTGGTACCGATAAAAACAAACAAATAAATAAATAAATTTATCGCCTGGCAAGCATGAAGTTATGAGTTTGATTTTGGAACTTAATAATAATAATAATAAGAAGAATAGTAACAACAATAAATTTTGTAAAACTACTGCATGCAAAATTAACACATAAAAATTAATGACACTTTTGTATACCAACAATAAACTATCTGAAAAATAAAAATCAAGAAACAATACCACTTACAATAACAATACTTTGGAATAAATTTAATCAAATAATTGAAAGATTTGTATATTGAAAAACTATGATATTGAAAGAAATTAAAGAAGAAATGGAAAGATATCATGGGTTCATGGATTCAAAACTATATTGGTACAATATACATGCTACAAAATGATCTACAGACTTCATGTAATCTTTATTAAACTCAGCCCTATCCTATCTGACACTGAGGGCAAAGGTTCTTGTATATATGGTTTACACCCACCCCTGATGAACAGAGTAGTAGCTGGGTGATATTAGGTGTGGTCTCCCCGCAGACCCAGGGTATGAAGGCATGGACCTCGTCAGGTGCCAGCTCATTTCCAGTACCGCTTTTGTCCAGTGTAGCAGAGGAATACAGCCTTGTCCTCCAGCACAGTGTCTGTGGCTGACTATAATACTGTACAACTGTTTCTGACCATTAAATGCTGCTGTACTCTAAAAATAACCTTTATTAAAATTTCAATGATATTCTTCACAAAAACAGAAAAACAATCCTACAAGTTGACCCACAAGAAACCCTAAATAGCCAAAGAAATCTTAAACAAAAAGAAAAAGGCTAGAGCATCACACTACATGATTTCAAAATGCACTGTAATATAAAGCTATAATAATCAAACCTCTAGTATTCAAAATGGCATGATTCCAGAAATACAACAGGCATATGGACCAATGAAACATTATAGAGAGCCCAGAAATAAAGTAATGCATTGTTGTTTGATTGACTTTCAACAAAGTGTCAAGGACAAAGGTGAATGAATAGGCTCTTCAATAAATTGTATTAGGGGAGCTGACCTATGAAAAGACTTGACCCTAACCTAATCCCAAATACAAAACTCAACTCAAAATATATTAAAGACTTAAATGTAAGACCTAAAACCAAACTATTTGAAGAAAACAAAAGGAGAAGTTTTGTCATTGGACTTGGCAAAGACTTTTTGGATCTGACTCTAAAAACATAAGCAACAAAAGAAAAGATAGGTAAATAGGATTGCCTCTAGAATCTACTGCACAGCAAAGGAAATAGTCAACAGAGTGAAGAGACAACCTGCACGACAGAAGAAAATATTTGTAAACCATTGATCGGTTAAGGGGTTAATGTCTAAAATATATAAAAAACATTTCAAACTCAATAACAAGAAAACAACCCAATTGAAAACAAAGCAAAAGACCTGAATAGATAAAAGAAATGCAAATGCCCAACAGGCATCAGAAAAAATACTCAGCATCATCAATCATCGAAGAAATGAAAATGAAAATCACTGAGATTTATCAACTCACCTTCATAAAAATAGCTATTATTCAAAAGACTAAAGATAACAAAGGTTGTTGATGAGGTAGAGAAAAGAGACCTTTTGCATGCTACTTGTGAAAATGTAAATTATTATAGCAATTATTAAATAACAATATGAAGGTTATTAAAAATTATAACTAGAACTAACAGTGATCCATAAATTCCACTTTTAAGTGTATAACCAAAGAAAATGAAATCAGTATGTTGGACAGATATCCAATTTCATATTTGTTGCTACAAGTTCACAAAAACCAAGATACAGAATCATCTTAATTGTCCTTCAACAGACAAATGTATAAAGAAAATTAGTCTTATAAAAGAAAAAGATTCTATAATTTGTGATAACATGGATGAACCTGAAGGACATTATATTAGTAATATAAGCCAGGTTCAAGAAAAAGAAAAACAGTGAGTGATCTTATTTATGTGGGATGCAAAAAAGTTGAACTTACAGAAACAGACTAGAATGATGCTTACCAAAGGATACTGGGGACCTGGAGGATGGTGAGATATTGACCAACACATAACAAGTTTCAGTTAGAGAAATAAATTCTGGAAATCTGTTGTATAGCATGCTGACAGCAGTTATTAATAATGCATTGTAGCTGGGGATTTAGCTCAGCAGCATAAGTGCCTGCCTTGCAAGCACGGTCGTGAGTTTGATCCCGAGTATCAAAAAAAAGCATTGTATATCTGAAAATTACTTTTAAAAGTAGATTTTAAATGTTCTCCCCACAAGAATAAGGTAGCTTGATTTAATCATTCCATAATGTTTACAGATATTAAAACATCACATTGCTTACCATAAGTAAATGCAATGTTACCTGTTAGTTTAAAAATACTTGAAAATCAATTTTCATACTCAGGGAAATACCTTTTAGTAATCAAGCCTAAGCTAGGGGGTGACCTGCCTTAGATAAATACAAACGCAAAATATATAAATGAAATTTCACAAGATAAAAGAGAAACATTTTCTTATGTTTTATATTTCAGAGAACTATGGATTAAACTTAATGCAGACCCTGATAGTCTTGAATCTATATTTCAGTTATGTATTCCCTGGTTTCAGATAGGATACCAAATAATTATAACTACTTAAAAGAATCCTAAATCTTTTCCAATAACGAAACCCATTAAGAATCTCCTGGTCCAAAAAGCACATTTCTCAACATTCATTACCAGAACCAGCACAAAGGACCCAAGGTCTTGGCTCTTAAGTGACTAACATGTGTCCACACAGCCACCGTAGATAAGGCCCCACCACAGTTTTTCACACACTTTGCAGATGTCAGCAAGAGAGGGGCCAGCTGGGGAGAAATTCAACCCAATTATAACACACTTCAGATCCTAATCAAAAGCAGAGCTCTGTTCTTTCCCTCCTCGTTCCCCAGTGTACTGACTTCCCACATGGTTCTAACTTCCCTGTCCTAACAGCAACTTCATCAGTTATAATACCCAATGAATTTCCAAGGACATTTGTACTCAGGGATCTTATTTGTATGTATTTCCTTTCGTATGTATTGTAGTTTTTTTCCTTGACTAATAAGTACATTACAAAAAAACTTCTAACTCCTATTAGGTAAGGCCAAAATAAACATGTGATTAAAGATTTAATTGTTTACTTATGACTACAGACTTTTAAATATTACTTACATTCAACCTAGAATTTACATTTTGACATGTTAGGAGAAAATCTTGAATTTTCATCTTAAAAATCTTAATGCTTTTGATGTTTCTGGACTTTGAAAAAACAAAACAAGTTCTGGAAATCCTCACCCAAAATGCACACAACTGGCAAAGAATTAGAGAGGCTGTACAGCTTACAGTCTGACAAGGAAAATATAAACATTTCTGTTTGTGTCTAGGCAGCTGGGGTGCTTATAGAACTCAGAGCTGAAGGATCTTGCCACCATAAACTGGGTGACCTTGGGCAATTCATTTAATCTTCTGGAATTTTAACTTTTTAAAATGAGGCTGAGAATGCCTCTTCCACATCTTCTTCACAGATGGTCAAGTCGCTAAGTTCACATCAGAGAAATGAGTGTAGATGTTCTTGATAAACTGGCAAGTCACATAAAACAGAAATCTTACAGCAGTACAATTGAAGGTCCACTTAAATTCTATTAATTAGAAATCTGAAAACTCTGCCTAAGTCTAGGAATCGGAAGGACTTCACAGACACACAAATGCAACCAGTTATTAATAACAATTTGTGGCACTTAGAAATGGGATTGGTGATAGTTCCTAAGACTGTCAATGTGGCTTTAATTAAGCCTGGGAAAAGTACTATAGTGACTTTGAAATTTCTAAACTACTGAAACACCATGAAAAGAAGACTAGAACCTCAAAAATTCAAACATAGTTAAGGAGATGCCAAAAGAATTTACATTTTAAAAGGCGGCTTCTGTGAGGAAGAAAATGAAACATGGGATAAAACTATGCCAGTTCCAAGCTGATCCTTGTTTTTCTAGATTAAATTATGCAATTCTCCTAATTCTGCCTGAATAGTTCCAGAGGCATCTTTTCTTCTACCAGAGGTTGAATGGTGTAATAACTTCATTAAAATATGAACTGTGATTATTTTATGCCAGAATTTTTTTCCTGGATGAAGAGTACAAATGAATG